ATATATATATATGTGTGTGTGTGTATATATATATATATATATATATATATAAAACATACAATGGGATATTTAATAATGCATAATATAATTTTTTACATTAAAAGTTTAAAATACTTTTAAACAAAATGTTTACATGTATATAAACAAGAGTTAAATCATTATACACACATATATACACACACACACACACACACATATATATATATATAAAATGGGAGTGTGTATATATATATATAAAATGGGAGTGTGTATATATATATATAAAATGGGAGTGTGTATATATATATATAAAATGGGAGTGTGTATATATATATATAAAATGGGAGTGTGTATATATATATATAAAATGGGAGTGTGTATATATATATATAAAATGGGAGTGTGTATATATATATATAAAATGGGAGTGTGTATATATATATATAAAATGGGAGTGTGTATATATATATATAAAATGGGAGTGTGTATATATATATATATAAATATATATATAAATCCTAATGGATTACACCTAATGGAATATTTTTTTTACATTTTTTAAAGGCTAAATATTTTGAAGAATAAAATGCTTAAATATAAACAAGTTATATTTAGATAATATAATTTTATACTTAAATTATAGGCCTATATATTAAATAATTTGCACACAGACACACATATATGTATATATGTAAATTAATATATATATATATATATAAAATATATCAATATTTGTTCTATATGATACATGTCCAGTTAGGAAAAATTAACTTTGAACAAATACTGATTTATTTCTTCTTCCAAACAATCAAGATCCCTGTTCTGCATCACCTCCAGCTAATGACCTCTGACCTCTGAATGTGTGGCTAAACACAGGGCAGGGCTATCCTCTGTGGGTGGTATCCTATGTGCGGAGTCTTGTGTCTGCATTTGTTGGTTCGGCCGCCTCTTTCTCTGATCTTCCCCTCTATTTACCTGTTTGGTTCCCATGGTGATCCGCCCCTCACTGCCTCACGTCTGTCGTAAACCTGCAGAGGTGTGAGAGCGCTGCTGAAAGAGTCCGCGAGGGAGCTTTAGCGAACTTGAGAAATAACGAGAGCAGTTGTCGCCTTAGAAACAGGAAGTGCGATGATGTCAGTTCGAGCCCTGACGCAGCCATCTGCTCGCGCTGACGGACTGGTTTCTTCGTTGCCATGGAGACAGCTTTGGTGTGCGCAAACATCCGGCGCTTGTGCTCCACATGAACCGTGCACACACACGTGACATCTCATCATTAAACAGCACCCTGTGGGATATTTGATGATACCTCATAGAGTGCAGAACGGAAACATGATCCTTTTGATTATTCACCCAATTAAACATTTAAAATATTCTTAAAGATAATATCTTAAAATACAAACAGGTTATATATTTTGCATAAAACTATCAATTATTTTCATGACAATTAAGCCCATTTTCTCTACCATTATGCACCCAAACATTTTACTTATGAATCCCATGTATACATATTTGTAGGCCTATTGTTTTTAACAATATTATATTACATACATGTTAAACAAAATTAAACATATTTATACACACTGTATGTATGTGTGTGTGTATATATATATATAAACAAGTGAAATATATAACATCACAACATTTACAAATTTTAAAGGGGTCATATGATGGGATTTCAAGTTTACCACTCCTTTCTCTTTGGAGTGTTACAAGCTCTTGGTGCATAAAGAAGATCTGTAAAGTTGCAAAGACTAAAGTCTCAAATCCAAAGAGATATTCTTTATAAAAGTTAAGAGTTAACCACGCCTACCTAAAACGGCTCGTTCTAACACGCCCCCACATGTCTACCTCACTATGTGGGAAGATTTGCATAACGCCGCCCAAATGTTCACGCAAAGAAAGAAGACGTAACTTTTATTCTCGCTGTAGTATTGTTGCTGCTGCCGCTGCCATGTCGTGAAGACGCTGTATGTTTTGTTGTGAAAGCGAAACTACTTAGTTTGG